TTGCCGTACCACATGTTTGGTTCCCTACCATGTCTCTGCTCCTCCTCACCCTTCTCAGTGTGGCTTTTTCTTTATGGTGTGGAAGAGCTGTTCTAATCAGGTCATTCTCTGAATGCGTTGCATTACATATAGTTGTTGCCTGGGTGTGTCTGTGGGAGGAGGTGGGATCCTCCTACTCCATCCACCGTGTTCCCTGGTCATGTCAACACGAAGGAAATTTTGCCTTCTGTATTTCTTACAGGATATCTAGAGTCTTGACCAGATTCAGGTTGGATTTTTTTTTTCTTCTTTTTTTGGCAAGACTTTCATAGTTGGTGGTATGATCTTCTATTGTTTAGAGAGGCACACAGTGTCTGGCTGTATTTTGGTGATAGGAGGCAGCCATGGCTGCCCAGTGCTTAGACCTCTTCGTTCACCAGGAGTTGCAGAATGTTGATAGAACTCTGTCAGCCCTTTATTCACTAGAATACTTGTATAAAAATTCCTGTGTCTACTATTAGGTACCCAGTGTAGTTGGGAGAGGGGAAAATTATGTATCTTCCTGTCGAATGTGTGGATTCCCTCACTTCCTCCAATGGTAGTGGTATTTTAACAGACATTCATTTTTTAATCATTAAGGAACTCTTATTTTTTTCTTGTGATATTCTGTTCATATTTTATATCAGGTCTCTTTTAAATTTTTCCTTGTTTCCTCTGGTGTTAATTTTTCTATTTATCTTGGTCTTTTTCTTCCTGTTGGTTCACCTCATTTATCCGGTGCTCCTTAATTATCAGTTTATACTTAAGGAGGCTTGAGTCGCCAGTGTTGTGTTCCCTTTGCTTTTGTGAAGACAGAGGACTGTTTTACTGCCAGTTCTCTGAGTGGGGAGTCTAACTGGAAGCTCCATGTGGGATAGGCCAGGACTGAGCATACTGATCTGCAATTTCATTTAAGAGTGAGAAGGGAGGGGGCTGTGACGCTTTTGCTCCTCTAAATGCTTTCCTCTGGGATCAACATCCGAATTGCCAAGTCTCGGCTCGCACAATTTGTCCAGTTTTCTTGAGAAAAGAGATTTCCCTCTTGAGTAGAAATGCTTGCTGCACCTGTACTCTGTGCCTGGCCGTGACTCTAGGGAGTGATAGCTTTCCCTACAGAGGCCCTGAATCCCCCAAACTTGGTCCTGTTTATCACTAATTCTAAACCCAAAGTCCTCTCTGCGATTCTGCATGCTAAATTTGTTCTCACCTCCTTTGGGGCCCTTTAGTCTAAGTGGTCTCTTCCAGAAACTCCAGCCTTGTTTCTTTGCTCTTAGAGGTTTTCCATTTTGAATACGTAGAATTTTACTTTAGAATGATTCTAGGAGGAGTGAAAGGGAAGTGTGTGTCTAGTTTGCCATAAATACCAGCCTTTTTATTACTGTTCTCTAGAAAAAAACTTATTTTTCAGCCAACTTAACAGTTGATCAATATGAATATTTTCAAAAACTATATTGATATGCTTGATATGGGTATTTAAAACTTCCAGCTATCAGTTGCATATTTTTAATCTCTTGAAAAGAAACATCTGACTTAGATGTTTCCTATATATACTCCGTGCTTGTAAAAACTGATCTAAATACAGAAATATATACTACGAAGAAATACTTTTAAATCAAAGCCAATTATATCTTTAATGAGGTTTTCCATTTAAGGGAGAGCAGCTATGATTCTGTAGTCAAATTTGAAACCTTCCCATTTTCTTGGAGGAAAATGTTAGTATAGATTAAATTACCATAACTCAGAGACTCAGATTAAGACTGCAATAAATTGAATCTAAGAATAAGAATAGAAATACAGACTGATTAAACGACTAACCTTAATTCTGAGTTAATACAGGAAAAAAAATCTCATGTCATTAACTTAAAGCCAAACCTTTATAAATTCAGGGTCATGTAGAAATCTCTTAAGACAAATGTAAATTTCAAGTTGGTGAAATAAAGACCTTCTACCCTCTCCCTTAAAAAAAAAAAAATTTATAGAGAGAGTAAGAGTGCAAGCAGGGCAGAAGGAGAGAGAGGGTCTCAAGCAGACTCCATGGTGAGCATGGAGCCTGACGTGGGGCCCAATCCCATGACCCTAAGATCATGACCTGAGCCAAAACCAAGAGTCAGATGTTCAACCAACTGAGCCACACAGGCACCCCCACTGTCTTCTCTTAAAAATAATTTCAAAATAATAAAAAACCCACATTTTTTTATAAAACTAGGAGATGTTTTCGACTCCTAGTCACAAAATATAAAGCAGAAAGTAGATGGTAAAATGATAAATGATCTGTTTATGTGCTAAGTGATTTAAGTGCCATGTGGCTGCAGAGCGAGATACTGAAGACAAGCAAACCAATTCACCCAAGGAATTTCTAAGAACTGGAAGATCTAGGTACTTAGGCTGGGATAATGGGATAAGGCAAGGGACTGAGTGGGAACTATTTTAAAAGGTGGGGAACAGAAAAGACAGAAGTCTCAGATGACTTTCCAGTGAACCTGGTGCAGTGAGGACTACTTCTGCCCCCTACTCCTGGCCTGAGAGAGAGAAGGGGGCAGAGGTTGTGCGCACAGTCTCTGGAGAAGCTAAATCCGAGAACAGGCAGCACAGAGGAGCGCGGGGGGAAGCATGGGGCTGAAAACAGAGACCAGTCTGAATGCTGACTTTTCGGTGAGGTCCTCTCTCCAACCTCATTCTGCTCCAGAACACAGGTACACTGATGAATCCCCACCATTTTTCCAGCAGAGATTGGAGGATCCCTCTGAAGAAAATGAAGCAACCCAGAAAGATCCTGACAAACTGACATTTAGGAATCCCTGGTGAGGTCAGCTGGCCTGCCAGTTGATGGGCTGTCTCCCCACAGAGATTCCAAAGAGCTTTTTTCTTAATTTTTTAAATATAACTGCGTAAGAATTGCCTGACATTTGAAGAAAAGTCATGACGGAGGCTAAAAGAAGGAACTCAAGAGGAAATAAAAGCATCCTATGGCAAAGAAAAAAAACCAAAATTCATATCTTTAGAGAGAGAAGAAGATGCATCTGCATCTGTCAAACTAGATAATGGTAGGGAAGAGCTTTAAACTAGATAATGGTAGGGAAGAGCTTTCAGAGATTAAAACCAGAAAGCTGAAATTTTATTAAAAAGTTGAAAAATATTTTTGAAAGTAGGGGGAAAAACAGAGATAGAAATTATAAAGGGAAAAAAATTGAGATCACAGTATGAGCTTGGGAGGTCCAAAGAAAGAACAGAAAAAAATTTCCCAGGACTGACAGAGATGAGCTTCTAGCTGGAATGGGCCAGTAGAAAATGCAGAAACTCTGAATGACAAACCCATCAAAAATAATACCAAAGGTAAAGAAATAAAATATTCCACTAGGAGAAAATAGTAGGTCACAGGGTAAGGACTGGTAATCAGAATAGCCACTGACTTACTGACATTAAACCTAGAAATGGAGCCCTGTAAATTCTCATGAAAATTATTTCTAGTCCAGAATTTTATGCCCAGGAAAAATACCACGTGGAAGGGTTTTTGTTTTTCGTTCATTAGCTATCCAGGCAAACTTTCAAGAGCAAAGTAAATCCATTCAACAAAACTGAATACATGGGATATAAGAGTTCCATCACAGAGCAGACAGTGGTCCAAAATGAAGCTGGAAAGGTCAGGAACTAGACAGATAATCTATACAGCCAGATTATCTAGACAGTTTTCCTCATGCAGAAAAACAGAGAGAGGCATTTTATAGAACGGTTGCAAAGTGTGAGAAGGCTTCAACTTTTGAAGAAAACCAAGTAAATGAAAACAAGGAAAGCTGCTCTAGGAAAATAAAAAAAGTGGTATATCCTGTAGTTCAGCAGTCAATATTTACACAGACCTAATAATGAAAACACTAAAGAGATGCACACAACCTAAAATTCTGAAGTACACCGATAAGCCTGTGCAGGAAAGAATGCAGGTGGCAGGAAAGTGCTGGATATAAGAACGAAGACGCTCGTACTCCTTCATGGAAACAGAGGAGATGAATTAAGAGATAACCGCACATATATAAATATTAGACACAGGACGATAAAGAGCAAAGTGCGCGTCTCTGGAAAAGCTGACTTACAGGTAGAGTATGGTGGGGAGACTGTTTTAAGTTTTTTAGAACTACTTTATAATCTGTTATTCATGTATTCCTTTCCATAGTGGTTTATTAATTAAATCATTAAAATATAGAAGTAGCATCTAGGACATATAAATAAATCTGAACTCTATAGCAAATAATTTCTTGGTTCTATTTCCCTGAAGAGATATCTTAGTAAAAAATAATGTAGTCAGCTAAGTGGTAGTTTTAAAAGGAATGAGACACTGGAGAGGGCGAGCCCAGGGGCTCGGCGGTGCTCGCTGACTGTACTGGGCTTACGCAGACTGGTGTGGTGGGATAGCAGGAAGGCAGCGAGTGTGGGGCCAGAGGACACTGGTTCTCATGCTGTGAGTTACTTTATGCCTGTTTCTTAACTTCTGTGAGCCTCAGTTTCTTGGCCTATAGAGATACACAAAACGATTATGTCATAGTAGGACTTTCCCCCGGGGCAGACATCACTTGTGTATATGCATACACAATGCTGAGAACACGTATGTTTTAAAGGGATAAAATGACTGGAGAAAAAATTGCGTTGCTAGAGAAAGCTGTCAGTCTCCACACAAAACTGTTTCTATAACTGCGATACAGGGTTAGTAGTTTATAACCTGCAAGTTTTTTTTTAAGTTGACTCTGACCAAAGTGGGGCTTGAACTCACCACCCCAAGATCAAGAGCCGCATGCTCTACCATCTGAGCCAGCCAGGTGCCCTGTAACTTTCAAGTTTACTTGCAGGAGTAATGTAGTTTAATTTCTTACATACTTATGGAAATTCACAGGCCAAGATCAATGTGATAAATAAATACATTTAAATCCTTATCTGCAATTCACTGTAAAACAAGGAATCTACTTAATATAAAACAAGCAAACTTAAGGACCTACCAGCCATTAAATCCTATGTAGAGATCCAAGTCAGTCAAGGCGGCTGCTGCTTCCTTCGTACCATCAAATGAATGCACCTAAGGAGGTACAGGTACAATTTCATTGAATAATTACTCTTTCTTTAAAATCCTAAATAACACTAATAAGACTTTCTTAGCAAAAATATAAATGCATTAGGGTTTTTTGGGCCAGAGGGTTTCAAATGCAGTGTCCCCTACAATTTTTATTTTCAAATCCAATCTCACAATTAAAATGGGTCAACATCTCCACTGGTGTGAGGCAAGAGGGGAGACGGCCGCCTGGAATTTCTATCCGGGGCTGGCTGATGGCTCTGTTCCAGCAATTCTGCGGTGCCCCCAGGAAGGGGACCGGCGGTGGGAGCCACATTCTCAGGCAAAAGCATGAAGTTAAAAATGTGACAAAACCATGTAAAGTGTATCTTCAAATGTTCAATTTTTATGTTACGGGATACTTTTTTCTGGAAGAGGACTTAAAAGACAAATTTTAAGAAGATCTATTCAGAGTTGTTGAGAATGTCACTAAAACAGTAATAATCACCTCAGGAGGCAAAAAGGAGTGAGATGGTGGTGTTCTCCTTCAAAGAGACAGGGATTCAAGCATAGTTTTTCACACTTCGGATGCATTTTTGTAACCAAAACAGTAAGTAACAACACTTCTTTAAATACACCTAACAAGTGGGGGCACCTGGGTGGCTCAGTTGGTTAAGCATCCAACTCTTGGTTTCAGTTCAGGTCATGATCTCATGGGTCATGGGATCGAGCCCCATGTGGAGCTCAGTGTGGAGTCCGCTTGGGAGTCTCACTCTCCTCTCCCTCTGCCCTTCCCCCGCTCGTGTGTGCATGTTCTTTTAAGTAAATCTTTTTATAAATAAATAAGCACACACACCTAACAAGTGATGTCATTAATACGTTCATACAGCATCCAGGGTCCGAATCCACTATGAATAACATGCTTCTCAAAAATAAAACTGTGTTACACAACTGCCCAGAAGGGTTTAGTCTTCCCTTCAGCATTTCCAGCTGACTAGAAAATATATCCTCCATTAATATCAAAATAATTTTAAATTAAGATTCTTCATAAACCATTTCAGAAAATTAGTTATACTTTGGCGGTTGTTTTTTTTTTTAATTTTTAAGTAATCTCTACACCCAATGTGAGGGTTGAACTTACAACCCCAAGATCAAGAGTCACACAGCCAGGCGCCCCTTGGTAATACCTTTTTTTGATAAAAGTCAAACATTTAGGTTGGATATGTTGCTGTTAAGTAAATTCTTCTTTAGAAATAAAGCAAATGGGCTAAGAGGTGGAACCATTAATCCCAAGGACGTTAATCAGAGCCTCTAAGCCTCTCCCAGTTCCCAGGTACAGTTCCTAAAGGATAAATTGCAGGGTCAGTAAACTGTAGATAAAAATGTGCACAGCACTGCAGAAAACATTATCACCAGCGTCTGGGGGACATGAAGCAGAGGCTACAAACGAGAGAATACAGGCGACACTCAAAGCAACACAGTGTGTGTATGCAGTGAGTGCTCAGTGCCACTTCTTCTTTCCTTAGTTGGACTTAGTACGACTGATTTTATATATCTGGATCATAGCTTTTCTGCTAGAGACTAGTGAATCGCTCCTAAAATTACAGGTGAAAATTTGTGCATCTGAGAATTTTTCTGAGGCAGATTTTCAAAAGAACCCATAATCCAATAGATTTTAAAAAACACTGCTTTGGATGCCTGAGCTAAGGCAGATAAGATTTATGGGAACTGATTGAAATGACCACACAGAAGTGTTTAGAGTAGAAACAAATTACAGAAAGAAAGGGTCTCTAGTCAGAGTGGTTAAGAGTAAATGAATACAGCTGACAAGAAATTAAGAAGGCAAACCTGAAGTGAGGATTAAAATACTTGATTAAAATTAGTTTATACTCTGTTCAGAATTTCAATTGGAAAACACTGAGGAACGTCTGCTGGAAGAGGCAGAGAAAAAGAGTATCACCCACACTCCTAAACTGTGAGTAAATTCATGGGGTTTTCTTGTGAACCAAATTATCATTCTTGTACTTTGAACAAAATACATGTAATTAGTGTGATTTATGTATCACATCTGGTCCATAGATTCTATCGTAAATGTATGTCCTTCAGTAAGAGGGGGAAGAACATCTGCTGATACCTGAATTACTTCGCCAACCTGAGGAACAAGGAAGCTTCTGGGCATCATCTAGTAAAAACAACTCTTCTACTTACCACTCCCCCCACACACCGGTCTCTGTTTCTTTTCATTATGTCTGTGAATTGAAAACAAACAACTGTTGGCAAATACCTTGCTTGATTTCTGCAAAATTCTTAAATTCTAAATGAGATTTTAGCTTTAACTCACCCAAAAATTCAGCATGTGAGTTCCTACAGTGAAGAAACATTGGTAATTTTGTTTGTTCTGCCAGTTCAAACTGTTTTTCAAAATATCTGTATGATGCCAAAAAAAAATTTCCTTGTTTAATTTAGCGTGAGAAAAATTATGTTAAATATTTTTTTAAGTTAAAGGACTTTTATTATTTTGAGATTATAGGACAGAAGTATGAACTCAGACATTTAAAACACATCTGACTTAGCCAAAGGCTTTATAACAAACAACTTCCAGAAAAGGATACTTCATTTTCTGGGATTACAAAATTATTTTCAAAAATGTTGGTTAGCTTTCCATTATAAATGCTAGGTAAATTAGGTAGCACTTTACTACTCATCACTAGAAATAGTTATAATTAAGTTTACAGTGATGAGAGCTGTTCCCTCAAATAATTACTTTTTTTAAAAAAAGATTTTATTTGAGGAGAGAGACAGAGAGAACACAAGGGGGGCGGCGGGGTAGGTAGCAGGAGAGGGAGAAACAGGAGCAGGGAGCCTGACGTAGGGCTCAATCCTAGAACCCCAGGATCATGACCTGAGCTGAAGGCAGACACATAACCGAATGAGCCACCCAGGCGCCCCTCAAATAATTATTTTTAACTAGCTTTTCCCACCAAACCCCAGCAAATGAAGCAGACACCCTCCCATCACCCGTGGGATCCCTTCCCTGCAGCATGTGTTGGAGGTGAATACATCACCAGCTTCTTGCCCCGAGAGCTGGCTGAGCACCATCAGTGGACGTCAGTTCGCTCCAGCAAGGGGCCAGGGAAAGCTTTATACTGTTTTCCATGTGCTGTTATACAAGAAATTACTACCACTAAACACAAGGATTTATTAAATATAAGTAGCACAAAAACTGAAACACTATTTTTCAAAGATATAAAAATGATATGATAAAATGGCAGCCGTGGGGCACCTGGGTGGTTGTCGGTTAAGCGTCTGCCTTCGGCTCAGGTCGTGATCCCAGGGGCCTGGGATCGAGCCTTGCATCGGGCTCCTCGCCCAGTGGAAAGCCTGCTTCTCCCTCTCCCTCTGCCTGCCACTCCCCGTGCAGTGCTCTCTCTCTGTCAAATAAATAAAATCTTAAAAAAAATAAAATAAAATGGCAGCTGTGAATGTTTGGAGAGTACTTTATAAAAAGGTTTTTTCAAGTGCCACATGCCATTATCTCATCTGATCCACAAAATAACCCTAGAATAGGTTAAGAGTTGGTGTCAGGGGATGTAGGACCTCATCCAAGATCACAACACAACATGACAAACTTGGACCCAGAACTTGAGTGCTCTAATTCCAGGTCCCAGCCAAACTGACAAAGTTGTGACGTTTCTAAGAAGCCCTTTCTGGTCGCAGAGCATAATGACAATAGCCAGATGATATAACGGGGTGGGTGTTCAGGTATTCTCACTCAGCGTGGGCTTACTCATTCTCCACTCATGGTCATGCAGTTCAAATGAAACCAAGAGTTACAGACAGTAAGGGTCATATTTTCCTACAGGAGTTTACCTCTTCTAGGCACCTTAATTTTCGGGAACAATTTCTCGGTGTTTAATTTAAATCTCTTGCTATATATTCCTCTATCTTGTCTCCCTGAAATACAGGACAACCATTTTCCTGGAGTACCCCTTTGTCCTCTTGAAAACGCTAAATTTTAAAATTAGAAATATAAGTGTACTTCTTAAATAGCTTTCATAATGTTGGTGGTCTTTGTCTTTATTACCCAGTGTTTAGGCTTTTAAATCACCTTTTCAGATTCTGCTGGGCTAGAATAAGCAAAAATAATTTTAGTTAAAGTGCTGAAATTTCAGACTGCAGGAAATAGAAATGAAATATTGAAAGAAAAGTCACTATTTCCATAACCTCTAAAGTAATTCAAATGTCAGCAATGAAATGCGCTCCAGTCATTACGTAAACTTGACCATGGATCTGGCTTCTGGCTACACACCGCACTCTCCGCTTTATGGCTCCCCACTCTACACGGATCATTTCTTTCACACACAATTCTATGTGCAAAGCCACACAACCGAGCCACAGATTTACAGAATCTAATGATCCCCTTGAGAATAAGCCTATCACAGCAGGCAAAAGTGAAAATTATGAAAATAACAGATGTTCAAGCAACGTGCCTCCAGAATTCTGCATATGAGAAAAGAAAGGTCCATGCACTCAAGCTAGCTAGGTATCTTAAGGAGGCCAAGTACTCCTAATGACATAAATTGAGGATATCCAGTGCTTGACATTAAGTACCTGTTGTCTTTAAAGAAAAAAACCCACCATGGTAACTAGAAATCGCGTAAGTTACAGGGCAGCAGAAACTGACACCTATCAAGAGATTTCTTTTTTTTTTTCCTTAATTCACATACAAAAAGCACTGTTTGAGTTAGATTTGCTCATATTAGTGAAGCTGTAATTTGCTTCTGATTGTATTACTGCTTCTTCCATTTTAGGGTCAACAATAACTGAGGACAAGGGCTTGAAAAGGTCAGCTTCCGAGTAGCTGTTAGTAATTCAGACTGAGGCAACTCCCAAAAGCCCAGAGCCTTACAGCACTGCACCTTAATCCACAGAGTGGGGCCACCTCTGAACTGGCCCATGGCAAGGACAGCCTCACTCTCTCATCTCTGAGGTTCCCTAAATCCCCAGACGGTTATTTTGAAATCTTGTCTGATGTCGGATTTCTTTTTCCAAAACAGACCTGCCCAGTATTAACATTTTAAAGCCCCAAGGAAAATCCCACAGCAAATTCCTCCAACTCAAGCGAACTAAGCTCTGAACTTGCAACAAGGAAAGGGAATGTAGCATGGGGCAGAAACTGAAAAATACAGCGTATGCTTCAAGGAAAACCTTTCCTTAGCAACTCCGGCTTCTTCCTTGTTTTCATGCTCTTTAAAAAACCTTTTCAAAAACCCCAAGGAAAAAGAAGAGTCTGTATTTTCTTTAGGAAGAAAGTATTTCTAAGACTACCCCCACAGCCACAATTTCTGGAGCATATACTGTGTGGCAAGCATGTTAAGATGGGCTTTACATACCAAGTGTTAAGAAAGGTAGGCAGTATTAGCCCCATTTTAATGATGAGGAAATGGAGATTTACAAAGAGACATAGAGCCACCAAATGGTAGTTATGATTTAAACCCAAAGCTGTTGATTCTAAAGATAACTACTTTGCAGTTATATACTGCCTTTTACCAGTAGGTCTCAGACAGTATTTTTTAGCCACTGTGTCTACTGCACATTAGTTCTGTCTTGCCTACTCACATCACACCATTTTCTATTTTTCTCTGATACATCTTTTTCCTGACTGCATTTTTACTTAAAAAAACAAAAGCAACAAACCATACACTGGTTGTCTCAGATGGTATAAAAGAACAGCCCCCAAATTTAAATTCTTCCAAGAAAAGATCCAACAGTAAAAGCTGAAGTATAGGCTTTTTAATCCATGCTACTCTCCAGGAATCAAAAAGACCCCTTTCCCCTTATTAAAAACTCAGTGAACATTTACGGAGTACCCGCCGTGTGCTGAGAGTACTGCACATGGTGCTATGGGCACAACATGAGTGAGGCTGGGTATGTGACTCCGGAGAACTCAGACACTAGTCTGCTGCGGGACGGGAAGGGGTGACATAAACGTATTCCAGGACAATGTGCAAAATGCTGAAACAAGTACAGAGCACCTCGTGTGCAGGGAGGGAGCTGCACGCTGGGAGCATATGCTAGGGGAAAGGGAGGGAGCATCAGCACAAGTCGGGGGGGGGGGAGTTTGTTTCCTTAACATCAATCTAAATGGGATTCCTACTGGTGTGTTTTTTTACTAAATCATTTGATGTTTTATAATTTAAAAAAATCTCAAATTGAACTGCCCATCTTTTTAAAATTTATACCATACTTTAGTTTGTCCTTAGCTTTATCTATTCTGGAAGAGACCTAGCTCACATCCCCTCACCTTATTAGCAAAGCCTTCCCTGACTCCCCCAGAAAGTCCTTCCCCCTGCTGTCATACACCTTTTTGTTAGCATTTTCCAAACCATTTTAATTATTTATGTGCTCTCGTCTATAAAGGCATCAGAACCAAGCCTATTCTTTGTATTACACTGAGGAGGCACTTGGTAATCATTCACTGAATGGAGTTTAAACTCTCTAGTACGGATTAATACCTGGGCAATTGGTATCTGTGTTCAAGCATAAACTATACCCTGCTATACATACCGTTTTAAGTTCTGATCTTAAGGTGATGGTGGAAATATTCTCAGAGCAGTAAAACAGAACTATTGATGTTTTCATTAAATACAAAAGAAATCGAGTTTAAAGTATTTCGGTTGCATTTTAGAATCAGTTTGAATGCATCTAGATCAAAGTCTTATGAGCAGGGAATCCTGAGGGACTCTGCCACTGCCCTTCATTGTCACACCCCACACCGTCTGTTTGCTTCACGACATTCATCTTGGCCAAAAACAGACTTTAAAGTGGAGGAATTATGAACTGTGGGCTTTACCTAAGAAACACAAACTATTTTTCTATTTAAATGTGAATATGTGAACTTTTAAGATGAGTGACCTATAAATGATATTCAAGAGAGGTTAAGGATTTAGTAATCCTGCTGGTAATCATGTGAATGTCCCTGAAAACCACAGCATTCATACATCACTAAACAGCTCGGAGAGGATTTATTCTACTGTTTTTTTACCTGGATAATTAATACATTGTTTTTGAAATGCAACAAAATGCTCATGTCTTAAATTAAGTCTATGACCTAATTTTTCTTTTTGGCCTATCATACTACCCACCGATATGCTGACGGGACTTCCAACTAAAAGGTATAGGCAGTGGGTTGTAGGAAGTCTACAAGGGTTGGGAACTTTGGAATTTTCTGAGACGCCACCACTCTCCACGTGGGTCCTGTGAAAAGACCCTCACATTCTAAGTTGACTATATCCAGTGCCCAGCAAGAGGAGGTTTTTCCTACTTTGGTGATTGATCCTATATCTCTTTTTAATACCCTTGGCTCTTAAATCATGCCCCAACTGAATTTAAATCATTTCATTGGAATGGTTCATGCATGAATATATTCATGAGGCAAAGAACAACGAAAGTCTCCATCACGTAAAACTCATCCCTTATTTCTACCATTAAAATTTAGATGGTTAATCAATTAGGAACTATATGCTTCCATCCCTTCCATTTCACTTAACTTTTGATATACAAAGGGAAAAACAAAAAATCTTGATGCTTAATCCAACTACATTCTGAACAGATAAAAGCTATTTTAAAAAAATCACTCGTAAGATTGTATGATAATTACAAAAGTCAAAAAATTTCCTTACTTGAGCTGAGTATCTTTGGGACAGAACTGTAGTCGGTCAAAATCTTTAAAAGATAAAAAAAGAACCAGTAACAACTCATTACCTTGTGCAGAACAAATCACTTTCAAAGTCACTCTAACAGGGCTAGGTTGGCACTTACCCAGTCCACACTCCCCTATTGCTACAACTTTCCCCTTATTGTTTTCAGCAAGATTTAACAACTCCCTTAAGTAAAGATCAGGATCATTCTTTTCAAATTCATCACATCTTGTAGGATGACATCCAACTGTACTGAAAAACATATCTAGCACAAAATAATGTCTTAGGATTATTTTCAAAATATTTTTCATATTACATTTAATATGCAAAAATGATAAGAATAAGTTCAACTGGTTAATTTTTAACAATAGCCATAAACTATTTGAACCACAAGAATTGATTAAGGTCAATCATATGATAGTTTTTGGAATACCTTAACAAAGCAGGACATGAATATGAAAACTGCCATAACATATTAGTAAAAAGAATTAATTCAACTTTCCAAAGCTTGGTATTCACTGAGTCTTGTAGAATAGAAAATGAAACAATTTCTTGGAGAATGAAATATCATAACCTAATTATATCTTTTACATTCACTATTCACATCACTGTCTTGTTTCACATATTTAATATAACAATGTATTTCTTCCCCTTAAAAAGGGTGACTTGGAAGGGGGATTTGTTTTTAAGATTTTATTTACTTATTTGAGAGAAAGAAAGCACAAGGTGGGGGAGGGGCAGAGGGAGAGGGAGAGGGAGAAGCAGGCTCTCCACTGAGCAGGGAGCACTCTGGGCTCAATCCCAGGACTCCTGGGATCATGCCCTGAGCCCAAGACAGAAGCTTAAATGACTGACCCAGACGCCCTGGGATTGGTTTTTCTAATAAAAAATAAAGCTCACTTATTTGGAGACCACACCTTGATAGCTGTAATTGTATGGAACACGAATAAGAAGTCAAAAAGGGCTTCTGAGTGGCCTGCACCTGAACCCACGGGAGAGGTGGGGAGCCTTCCTCAGCCTCTCCTGCAGGTGTTTACATATAAAGGAGGCAGAGGTTTTAAAGCAGTGAGGACACAGGTACGGGAGGAGGAGTGAAGACGGCTGACAAGGGGAGCTTCAAGAACTTTTAAAAGCCTATGTCTTTGGGGATTAAAAGTACAGAAGACCATATTCTTATACCCCCAAAGGCATCTGGGAAGGTGACTACTTTTAATCACTAAGAAAAGATGTCAGTGGATCCTGAAAAGAAGTATGCATTTTAAAAAGATTTCCATAAAAAATAACTTTTAATAAGTAAATCAGTATTTTGAAAAATAACATGGAATGCCTAATCTTCAATGTCTAGCAAAAGAAGCATGCATGCCAAAACACAAAACCAAAATAAGTTAGGTAAAATGAATGCCAGATAAAGGAGACGTTTTCCGTAAGTAGGATTTCCTTAGGAACCAATTCCAAAACTTCATAGATTTTAAATAAAATGCAAAATATATGAACATAAAGTGAGCCGAGAGATTATTTATTATTACTTGCATTCCTGGGGCCTTACAACAACGGTCTACATGATAAATATTTAATAAATGAACCTTAACAGTTTAAAAAATGCAAATAAAAAGCAACTCACATCTTAAGCACATTACAACATACAAAAATCTTGCATCAGAAATATGTGAGGCTAAACTGTATACCCAGTGAACTTAATTCTCATTAACTGGAATCTTAAAATAATTGTTAAGTACAGTGAGAGAGAGGGTTTAATCACATCTGATACACTAGTGGGCACTTAGAATTCTTGCATTTTAATCATGTCCCATTGCAATCAGTCTGTTTTTCTGTTATTTCTACAGTCACAATCCATTGTATTGTATCTGAGGCAGTTTTTAGAAAGATTTCTTCAAAATAACTCATATTTGGGGGGGTAAAAGTAATATGAGGATACCATTTGTTTGTGCCAAATGCAGTGCCTCTTTACTGTCCTGCAGATTTCCACCTGTAATCATAAACTGAAATAGAAAGAAATAAAATAAGCCTACTTGAACAGACCATCAACAACAGTTTCCCAAACATGCCTTCCTGCTGTTTTCCAGAATGCTTTTCTCTCTTTGACTGTCACACACTTACCCTTCCTTTATTTAATTTTTTTTAAGATTTTATTTGTTTATTTGACAGAGAGAGAGAGATAGCGAGAGCAGGAACACAAACAGGGGGAGTGGGAGAGGGAGAAGCACGCCTACCGCCGAGCAGGGAGCCCGATGCGGGGCTTGATCCCAGGACCCTGGGATCATGACCTGAGCCGAAGGCAGACGCCCAATGACTGAGCCACCCAGGCGCCCCACACTTACCCTTCCTTTAAAATTTGGCTGGAAGGTCATCGCCTATTTAGAGTGGTCCCTGACCACCCCTCTCCATACAAGCATACATACAACACAGAATTTGTCATGCCTTCCCATTAAAATGTATTCACATGTCTCTTTTTCCGGTTAGATCAAGAGCTCCTTAAGGACAGAGATCACATTATGAAAGACCGAATAACTAAAGAATTTAGAATTCTCTTAATCTGGGGCACCTGGGTGGCTCAGTCGGTGAAGTGGCTGCCTTCGGCTCAGGTCATGATCCCAGGTTCCTGGGATCGAGCCCCACATCAGGTTCCCTGCTCCGCAGGAAACCTGCTTCTCCCTCTCCAACTCTCCCTGCTTGTGTTCCCTCTCTCGCTGTGTCTCTCTCTGTCAAATAAATAAATTAAAAATCTAAAAAAAAAAAATCTTTTAATCTAAATTGGAGATTCAGTAGTGTTTATTAATTCAACAGTTCTCCAAGTGTGGTCCCGGAACCCCCGGGGGGAATGTGAGGTCAAAACTATTTTCATAATAATTCTAAGATGCTATTTGCCTTTTTCACTCTCACCCGGCCCCAAGTGTGCAATGAGATATTCCAGAGGCTACATGATGTGTAATATCACAACAGACTGACAGCAAAAACAGATATCCAAGTTTAGCAGTCTTCTATTAAGAGCCAGACATTCAAGAGATGTTTAAAAAAAAGAGAGAGATCAAACAATTCCACTTACATCACATTTTTTTGGTTTGGAAAGTACTTATTTTTCATAAAAATATGCTACTTAATGTTATATAATGGTTTACTGTTAATAGATATTTTACATTATTAGTTCTAATTTCCAATATCAGCAAATAAAACCCACATAAAGAAAAGCTCTTTGGGGTCTTCAGGAATATTGAAGAACATGAATGGGTTTTGAGACCAAAAGTTTGACCATCACCGGATTAAGGCATATTGAATTCTTCGTAAGGAAACTCATGGCTCCTGGCAGAAAGCACATTTCTAAAGAGGCACCCTCAGGGTCCACCGGCAGAACGACTGTATCAAAAGGAAAATGTGACAAGAGTGGTGTGTGGGTGCTGGCTACTGAGGCAGTGCTGCCGATGTGTGTGTCCTTCTAAAGAAGGGACTTACTAAGCACACTGATGTAGATTTTTTTAAGCATCTCACTTCAAGCGCCTCACTGAGCTAAAATGAAGAATTCCTTCTAGGTACGCGCCTAAAGAGAAAACATACAAAACACTGGAGGAAGTGCAAATGATGAACAGATGTTTTCATATAGCAACCTAAACTTCTAATATAATAGGCACTGAGTATCTAATTCAGGGAACGCACAGCCATTATTAAATCCTCAACTGCTTGTAAAACACAGGGTATATCTTAAAAATATTGGGAGAACTTGACTGTTTACTAACACTACCTAATTCTTTAATACAAGACCAGGTGCCCAGATCTAGTATTTCTATTCTGTAAAATAGTTTCTATTCAAGCCTATTTTTATCTATAACTTTCCCAAATAGATGAAAAAGCAAGGACAAGACTAGAAAACGTAATTTCCTCTCCCAGGTCACAATGATGATATTAGGATGATGGTGGCTTCCACCATAAACCTGATAGAATAAAGGGTGTTTACGCAGGTACAATACCAAGTGCTTTGCACTCCAGCTTATTTAACTCTCACAACTCCCTTAATTAGGCATTATTATCATTCTCAAATTACAGATGCGAAAACTGAAGCCTAGAGAGAGAAGCACCCATGTTACGAAGCTTTGAAGAATGAAGCTGGGGCTGGAACCCAGCGGTGTGAGGCCATAACTGTGCTTTTCATCACTACAACTTAACTGCAAGACACTAAGTTAGATTCCAACTAGGAACCACGACTGAGGAAATTCCATTTCTGTCATTCTTACATCGGTGTGTGTACGTTTCCAAATGTTAAACTACTCACGGCTGACACATGAAAATTTAGGAGCTTGGTATTTCAGAGTCTGCAGAAAAGCATTTTATAAAGTGATTTACCAAGCATAATGAGAAGGGAATGCTGTAACTTTTATCCTTTCTTATTACTTGTGAGCAGTGACTCTACCGTGTAGAGCTGGGACTGCAGATCTCAGGAGCCAGCAGGGTCCTCTCTCACAACGGAGGTAATTAAACCAGAAGCCGCAGCTACCAAGTCTCCAGACACCACACTGGGGAACTTAACCTTATGTGTGCATATGTGGGTTACCTTGATATTTTTTTTAAAAAATCCTAGTTAAAAAGAAGTTATCTATTCAAAGAATTTGACACAGAGCTAATATTCATTTGCTTAGAACTCTAAAAAGCAGAATTTTCCTGATAATCAAATTAGTACCATAAAACTTAAAGTGTCTTCTCAGTTATTTGAAAGGGTATATCCATACACAGATACAAGTCTTTCTGATGACCACTGAGTTCCAACAAAAGACCACTGAATTCTAACAAATGCTAAGTTATGTGACAAAATTTATTATTAAGAGTTGCATCTTGAGAAGCCTGGTAATTCAGATAGGTTGTAAAAATTTTTTTTCAAAGAGACTTTGCCATTTACCACATTTCTGCTCACATAAAGAACTATCCAAGCATGAGGTCTGTTTCACTTAAGTTTGGTATTTTACTTCATTTACTTGCTAATATTACTTGTTGACAATACATATCCCAAAATGCCAAGTGTGGCATTAGCTCTTTCTCTTCTATTCTACAGTATCTTAACCAAAATTTAATTTTTAAAAAAACAAAAATTTACCTTTTTAACACCAATCTGGACAGCTCTCTCTATTACATCTTGTAAATCATCTGTAAAAAGCAAACCCATTAAGAAAACTTGTTAAAAAAATTTTCACTTATCCCTTCTTGAAAGAAAAATACATAGAAACAATTATATTTACCAAATCAATAGTTTGATGAGTACTTATAATAACCAGCAATAACCCGAGGGGAAAAAAAAAAGAAACCCATATGAGGCAAACTAGATGACTAGTTATCCATTTAACTATATTTTATTCTGTTGACCAAAAGGGAGAAAAGTGACAAAAATCAGGGGGTTCCAAAGAAAGGTAAATTTGCTCACTACAATTTAAATTACTTGCCTTAAGTTTGAAACTTGTTGGTACTGTATTTTTTTAAATAAAAATGAAACAGTCATTAAAATTGTTATTTTTTACTAGGGCTTTTCAAAATATATCTGTAATGCCTCCCAAAACATGATAAAACATCTCTTTGTAAATTGCAGTCAATGCTGTATTTCTATAATTCCCATTCCTACTGAGGAAGGATAATTTTTATTTTCTCTGACAGTTTTTTGCTTTTTCCCCAAAGTTTCTTGTTAAGTAACAGGCTTTTCTGGGGAGATCAATAGAAAGCTAAGCTTTAAGAGGCCTGAGGTAAATGGACAGCAAAATCAAACAATTCTATCATAAAAACCCACTTATTAATTTCATATTTAATTATCACAGGAAATTTAGTTAGAATTCAATTATTTCTAGAGTAGCTATAAAATTTTAGACAAAAACTATCAATTTAGTGAACTTCTACTAAGCCAACTAGTTTCGCTAAATATTGTAAACCAGAGTGCTACTGATACTGATGATAATAAAACTTATTTCACAAACACACACATACGTAAGAGTCACAAAGCATGAAATCTATGAAGTGCTACAACGGCAAGAAAATCAGAATACAATTTATTCAATCATCTGTAGTACCTAACATCTTATAAAACATAAAAACATTATCGAAACTTCTAAATGCAGTAGAAAAGGTAAGTTTTGAGGTAAGGCTTATGAAAGCTAACATTTAACTTTCTTCTTTCAAGTGGCATCTGACATTCCCAGGATTTAGAGAAGCTTCCACTTAGTATCACCTAGAAGAACAAGTGAAACTGGCTCTGACTTAATTGTTGAAAGAAATGTGTAATTCCTCTTCACCCAGACCACAAACCCAAATTTTCCTGTTTGCATTTACATAACAAGTACAGTAATTTTCTAAGGCAATATTCATAAGCCAGTTTACTGGAGAAATTCTTTCAAAAATGTGTTGTCACCATCATTTCCTGCTTCCTCAACTCAGATGACAAAATACACGAATGATCTTGATATAATAAATAGAAGCCATTTTGCTTTTGGCTAAGCTTTCCATCAATCTTTGAGAAACTACTGTGTATTCCCACCTACACCGCAGGGATCTGGGCTCTAGCAGGACTTGGAAGAAAGGGGGGAAGGCAAGACAGGGAAGCTGGAGAGCAGGGCACCCACTCCTTAACCACATTACCACTTTGTCACTCAGCTGAAAACATTTCCAAAAGACTAGGTATTACAGTGATGTTCAACTGCATGTGATTTTTAAATTATGTGCCGTCATGTTCAATTGCTTAAAAGACTAATTAAACATCAACCATTGTTTGGCTTTTATGCGTATGGCTTTTATGCATTTCTATATTCGAAATTATAAACTTCCTCAGATAAGGAGGCCTTGGTAACACTGTTATTACAGGTGCTTTATAAATGCTCATGGTTGTGATTTACCCATGTAGCTTATGTATATTTCACTTGGTTTAGTTTTATTTTTTTAAGATTTTATTTATTTATTTGAGAGAGAGAGAATGAGAGAAAGAGAGCACGAGAGGGAAGAGGGTCAGAGGGAGAAGCAGACTCCCTGCCGAGCAGGGAGCCCGATGCGGGACTCAATCCCAGGACTCCAGGATCATGACCTGAGCCAAAGGCAGTCGCTTAACCAACTGAGCCACCCAGGCCAGGCGCCCTACAGTTTTAAACTATAGGCATCCAAGATGCATAATAAATCCTTTTAATATTTCAATTGTAAAGTGATTATGCTTCTCATGATCTCCTTGAGGCAGAAAACTTGTCTTCATAGAGAAACTATTTATCTTAATAAAAGAAACATTTACCTTGATGCTTCTGAACTCCCCTATAAATTCCTCTGAACATAGGATCTGTCAAGTTGATACCGATATCTGTGGAAAGCAAAAATAATTATTAAGAGCTTCTATTTTAAATTTCTATGTTAAATAAAAGTTCCTGTTATGAAATTTTTCATTCAAACAAAATCTAAGTGCCTACCACTTGTCAGTCACTGAGCCAGACACCTGGGACACAAAGAGGAGTAAGACAGAATTCTAGCTCGCAAGAAACCCACTGCAGGATTGGAAAGGCAGACCCATTAACCGTTAAGAAAGAATTCTAAGTAGACACTGGCACTGTGGGGCACAGATAAGAAACACCCAACCTAGTCTGGTAGATGGCCCAGAAGTTTCCAGAAAGAATGGATCCCTGAACTGAATCTTAAAGGGTAAGTTAGAGTTACCCAGAGGACAAGGGAGCAGTGTGTCTGGGGTGTGGAACAGCAGTGACTGTGGCGAGCTCCAGGCTGTTCGGCTGCTGGAGAGAAATGTAGGGAAGGGAGTGGCCAGAAAAGTCCAGACTCAGCTATGTTACAGACATTGGTCTTTAAAACACCAGATGCAACCAGAAGCACAGATGGCTTTTAAGCAGAGGCGCTGAGGTTTTGTCTTCTGGACATCTCATTCTGGCGTCTTTGCAGAAGGTAGGATTTGAAGGGGGGCAAATGGAGTCCGCGGATTTCATTTGGAAACAGGCAAGAGCTCATATTTACAATGAGGAGAACCTGAATTGGGGTAATGTAAGGAGAGATGCAGAGAGCAGAATGAATTTCTTTCTTCACCAAATACTCTGAAGACCAAGCCTGTGTCCTTACTATGTAAGGAGTTAGGGCATACAGAAGGGAGTAAGACCCAACACTTGGTCCCTGCCCTCCAGGAATTCATGGTCTCTATGGGAACTACAAATACACTTGGTGATATGTTAGACTAAGCAACACAAGGCAAGAATGTTTTTCTTTGTTGCTATATTCCTAAAACCTAACATAATGTTTGCCCCATAGTAGGAGCTCTATACATGCTAAGTCTATAATTATTATGTGCTTGGGAGCACAAAGAAGGGGCATTAACAGTTTTGGCAAACATGACAAGAAAAGCCTCCCAGCAGAGCTGGATCTTGAACAAAGCTAAAGCTTACAAGATGACAAACAGGGCATTCTACAACTATGGACGCGTGCGGGCACCGACTATCTAGAAGACGAGAAGAAATTCATTGTGCCTACAGAGCAGTGGTCCTCAATGGAGAGCAATTCTGCAGCCCCTCTCCCCTCCTAACCTCCCCCCTTGGACAGCATTTAGCAATGTCCATGTTCATTTCTAGTTGGCACAACTGAGGGGAGAGTTACTGGCATCCAGGCTTGAGGCCATGGATGCTGCTAAATACTTTATAACGAACAGGGTAACTTCCCGCAAGAAGGGATTATCTGACCCCCAACATCAAGGGCCATTTCTTGATAAGTCCTGCTGCAGAGTACAAGGAGAATAACAGGATGTGAAGTCAGACTGTACTGGCCCCGGGCAATAACAACACCTTCCTTATGGGGCACCAGGGAGGCTCAGCCAGTTGGGCGTCTGCCATCGGCTCTGGTCGAGACCCCGGGGTCCTGGGATAGAGCCCCACATTGGGATTCCTGCTCAGCAGGGAGTCTGCTTCTCCCGCTCCCTCCGCCTCTCCCCCAACTTGTGCTCTTGCTCGCTCGCTCTCAAATAAAATCTTTAAAAAAAATAATACCTTCCTGGGCACCTGGGTGGCTCAGTCGTTAAGCGTCTGCCTTCGGCTCAGGTCATGATCCCAGGGTCCTGGGATCGAGTCCCACATCGGGCTCCCTGCTCAGCGGGAAGCCTGCTTCTCCCTCTCCCACTCCCCCTGCTTGTTTTCCTGCTCTTGCTGTCTCTGTCAAATAAATAAAATCTTTAAAAAAAAAAAAATACCTTCCTTATTTAAAATACACACCCTTTAGCATTTAGCACCAGGAGTTCATGCTCCAAGTTCATGATGGCTGGGGGCACTTGCCTTCCTACAGACCCTTACATTACTTCTGCTTACTTTCAGCTTCCTCTTGGTAATGTTTTCACCCTGATTTCTGGCCGTTAGTAAGCTGTGCTGCTTCCACATGAAGACAGACTTGAGGTGATGGATGGGAGTTTGGACGATCTAATAAGGGATGGTGGAGAGAGTAGTCCAGACATTTGGAAAAAGCAAAAGAAGGGCACAATGCAGAAAACTTGAAAGATATTTCAGCAACAGTATATATGTCAATAGAGGGCAGGAGATGAATTCACACCGGTACCCTTTAAAGGATTATTAAACACTGACCACAGTAAATACAATATAGGCGTTCAATGGAATGGCCCAGATCACAAGAATTCAGCACTTTTTTTTTTCAGTTAAGGAAAGGAAACTAGATAGGGCAGGGGGCAGACTGAGAAAGGGAGCCCAGGGAAGAGAGGAGAGGCTTTTCTGCCTCGAAGAATCCTTCACAGAGCTCCATCTACAATCACCCACCATGGACGATGGTTAGGAGCACAGACTTGGTCTGTATGTCTTCTACTCATTTCCCCTTTGTGCAGCAAAGAGATTAGTATTTTTCCAAAGCAATCTTTTTACTAGAAAACAGTGAAAAACAAAGGAAACAAAAGCAAGCAAATTTAGCAAGTGAACTTTATGTTACTTTAAAAGCAACGGAGGGGTGCCTGGGTGGCTCAGTCAGTTAAGCATCCAACTTTTTTAAGATTTTATTCATATATTTAAGAGAGAGAGCAAGTGAACGTGCATGAGTGGGAGGAGGGGCAGAGGGAGAGGGAGAAGCAGACTCCCGCTGAGCAGGGAGCCCGACTTGGGCCTCAATCTTAGGACCCCGAGAGCATGACCTGAGCTGAAGGCAGACGCTTAACCGACTGAGCCACCCAGGTACCCCAGGTGTCCAACTTTTGATTTTGGTTCAGGTCGTGGTCTCAGGGGCCTGAGATCAGGCCCGCATCAGGCTCCACACTCATTACGGAGTCTGCTTGTCCCTGTCCCTCTCCCTCCCTGTTGCCCAGCCCCGGCTTGCACCCACTCTCTAAAACAAATAAAATAAAATCTTTAAAAAATAGTAATTTTAAAAAGGCAAACTGAAGATTAACTTGGGGGCTCAGTTTCTGAAGCCTTCCCATGTCCTTGTCTCAACCCTCACTGGACTGGATGTTAAATCGTTCTTCAGCACTTTATGCTGAGGCAGATATGGTTGAAGCCAATTCAAGGTGATACACTACCTCTTAGAACCTTCTAGATGTGGGTCAGTCCTTCAGGCCCTAAGTCACAGTGTAGTTCAAAAATCTGTATTCAGCTTTGGACCCAGGTGAGCCTTGGGCTTTAGGATATCCTACCCCGGCTCAGCCACCAATTTCTTCCCTCTGCTGCAAGAAATCTCTCCTGACTTACAGCCCTGGGCCCTTTTCTTTCTGACATATGGTTTGCTTGAAGTGTATTCCTTAGCCAGTTATTAGAGCCGTTTTCTACCTTGAATAGAATGCTTTCCCTTAGGTCTGGTAAAGGGGGTCAGAACATACCACCCCAAAATATGCCACTTTGGCGTCTCAGTTATTTTGAGCTGAATGCACTGGAGAAAGAGCAGATGTAGGCAAGGCTCTCTGGTCTCCCCACTTTGTAATGAAAAGGAGGTCATAAAATTTCCCATGAGAGAGACCCCCTCCCTATATCAAGAACAGAAGAATATTGTTATCACTGTAATACTGTTATCACCAGCCTGGGAGTCAAAGTCAAAATGAATCTGTACAAACAGACCCAAATAACCCTCATCATCTCCCATTAGTTTCCCCAAACATTTCCTTGTCATGGTCCCACAACTCAAGACAGTTTAAGCCCTTTTATCACATTGCCATTTATGCTTTTGGGCCTAATGGCTTCTTTGGGGCTTCATTTTCCTTCTGAAGGCTCCCAGATACACAAAAAAATGTCTATGCTTTTCTCCTATTAATGTCTTATGTCAGTTTAATTCTTCCACCAGCCACAGAACCTAACAGGGTAGGAGGAAGCTTTTCCTCCTCTATAGAGGCAAATACGTTCTTTTTCTGGATGCTGAGTCACTTACGTTTCTCCTCCCCTATACTGGCTGGCCTCTGGGCCTCCCACTCCCCATCTACCTACCCACCGGCAAACACCTGCAGGGTGGTTAAGATAATTAAGAGGTCAGTATGGAGGGGGTCAAAGAAAAGTTGAACACGATCACCAAAAAGTGTAAATTTGTGAGCAAGTTCCAAGAAATCCAATGAAATGGAGGAACTGCAGTTATGGAAAAAGAATGGGTTCAGGAGTCAGAATTCCTGGCATTATAATGAATAAACAATGATGTTGGGCAAATCAGTGGGCCTTCTGGGCCTCAGTTTCCCCACTAATAGGGCATAACATTTCTCCTTCCCAGATGAAATGTGGCTCCAACTGGAAAATGAATGTGAACGCACTTTGCAAATTAAAAGCCTTATAAAATCTACTTACTATTATTACTGAGCACAGTATACATTCCGTAACATGCCAGTAACACATGGAATTTTAGTCAACATTAGCTACCCTGCCATACCACCTTCAGTGGTTAACACTCTCAATTCATTATTCAGTAGCCAAAGTGAGTCCATCTTTTTATACCTAACTCATGATGCAACTACGAAAAAAAAGCCACTCAAAATCCTACTCATTTAAATTGTTCAGAATGTCCTAATTTAGTATAAGGGATAGTATCTTTTCAATTAAAAAGTTCCTATCACAGGGGCACCTGGGTGGCTCAGTCAGGTAAGCATCTGACTCTTGGTTTTGGCTCAGGTCATGATCTCAGGGTGGTGAGACTGAGCCCCACGTCAGGTTCTGTGCTCAGTGCAAAGTCGGCTTAAGATTCTCTCTCCCTCTCTCTCCCCCTCTGCCCCTCTGCCAACTCAAGAGGGCTCGCTCAAATAAAATTTTTTTATACTTTTTAAATTTTATTTTATTATGTTGTGTTCATCATCATACATTACATCATTAGTTTTTGATGTAGTGTTCAAATAAAATCTTAAAAAAAAAG